GCAACAGACAGAGGTCTGATCTCCAAAATATATAAAGAACTCAAGAAACTAGACTTTAAAATGCTAATTAACCCAATTAAAAAATGGGGCACTGATCTGAACAGAGAATTCCCAACAGATGAAGTTCAAATGGCTAAAAGACACTTAAGGTTATGCTCAACCTCCTTAGCGATCAGGGAAATGCAAATCAAAACAACTTTGAGATATCATCTTACACCTGTCAGAATGGCTAAAATCAAAAACACCAATGATAGTCTTACCAAGTTTTTATGATACCACAAAGAAGTAACCCAGGAACAGAAGAATTGTTGCTCATGCAATTTTCAGAAGATAGAAATGTTTAAGACACATTTTCTTGGTGTGTGTGTGTGTGTGTGTGTGTGTGTGTGTGTGTGTTTTGATACAGGGTTTCTCTGTGAAGCCCTGGCTCTTCTGGAACGCACTTTGTAGACCAGGCTGACACCCCTCCCAACTGCCTCTGCCTCCCAAATGTTGGGATTAAAGGCATCTACTACCACTGCCCGGTTAAGACATATTTCTGTGCTGTCAGAGATAGATAGAGGTTGGAGATCACTTAAAAAGAGTAACACCTTTTGGAATTAACTGTGCAAACTTTTGAATGTAGTTAATATAAAGATATTATCAGTTACTAATAGATTTGGGTTATCCATGACAGTGTATATGAAATTAATTTATCTTCACATACACACACACATGCACACACAGAGACACACACAGACACACAGACATAAACACACACATATGGCTTTTACGTAATATTTTGTTTGTTTGCAAGCACAGCTCATTAAATAATATCAAACCTTCCTGTATAATCTGTGTATAAATAAATTTTACATACATTTAATAAAACTACTATGTATATAAATATCGTATAGTGTTTTCAGTAGTGGGTATTCCATATTTGAGTCGATGGACCTTACAGACCTATCCTAGAGATTTCCCTACAGATCTGAGGTCACAGGTGTCTCCTGTTCTCTGCAGCCCTAGCCCTCCATCTGAAAAGGGTAGAGGGGTGCATTACTTGTAAACCGGAAATGGGCTGGCTCGTGCCCGGCAGTTGAGTGAAACTTTTCCTTCCAGAGACTCTTCTGGGTAAATGGTATTGATTGGCTGCTCTTCAAAAATGGGTCCAAATCCTTTGTCCTCTTCAGAAACTGAAACAAAGACAAGATCATTTTATAGCATACCACTTTGTAAATCAAAGAGAATTTGGTTTCACCAAAAGTACTTCTTTTCTACCTGTCTCTCATTGGTTCCCTAAATGTATCATTTGCCAGCTATCTCTGTACAGCTCTCTCCCCCCCCCTTACACACACATGTGTATACACACATGCACACAAGCGCGTGCATGCATACACACGTTTCTGCCTCCAGGTTCTTGCCCGAGCTTTGAACTTTTCAGCTTTCTAAAATCATAAGCCTAATTTTCTTATCAAAGTTTGTACATTTGGGACGCAGGCCTGGTGTTAATTCCTTCAGAAGGCTGCCTCCCATCCTTCCGGGTCTAAATGATCCCCTTTTGTGGCCCTATCGTTTCCCGCTCGGTTGCAGGACTTAACAAGCCTGCTTTGACATTTGATGCAAGCTTATGTATCACCACGCTGACAGTGCTTGGGGACAGGTATCTTCTTTAGTCGCTGTGCCCTGCTACCCAGCTGCCTGGCGGTCCAGAATGGAAAGGAGGTGCTAAACGATTTTAGACGATGAGAATGAAGTGATGAATGAATTCCTGAATGCTCTGGCAGAGATTATCCTCCTTTGAATTTTCATCTCCTCGAACATACGGCCAGGGTTCATACTCAGCTGTCATTTGCGACCACATATAAAGCATTATGAGCATGGGAGTTGATGAACTGGTTTGAAACCCATCCTAAGTGCCCATCAAATACCTGGACAAGGGAAACACTTGTCCATGGAGTCCTCTCTGGAAGGAAGAAGAAATGAAATGGCAGGAAAGACTGAAGAGTCACTAGTGTAGCAACATCTACAAACAGCGGAGAATTATGGGCTCTGAGGGACTTGGAAGTGAGCCCTGTGCCTCCAAAGGCAGGAAATTCTGCCCTGAGGACACTCCAATAGAAGCAAACCATGGTTCACTTCTCCACTTGTGTTGTGTTGTTATTGTTACTGTTTTGTCGTTGTTTCTGATTTTTGCTTATTTAAGACAGTCTCATGTAGGCCAAGCTGACCTCATACTCCAGATTTTCCTATCTCTACCTCCCAGGTACTAGGAATGCAGGCATGTGTCATTATGTCAGGCTACCCCAGCTTACTCTTTTTCACCTTTTTAAATTTAAAATATGCTTTTTTATACAATATATTCCAATGACAACAGTTCCCGACTCCTCCCAGTTCTACTCCATCCAGATCCACACCCTTTCCACCTCTCCATAGAAAATAAACAAGCATATAAGAAATAATAAATAAAATAAGACATAATGAAATAAAATAAAAACAAACACATTATCATAGGACAAATAAAAACAAAAATAAGAGAGAGATCCAAAGGAAATGCAAAAGAAATACATGTAGACTCAAAGACATACACATTCACACAAACATGAATCTCAAACACACAGAACTAGAGTTAAAATAAAAACAAAAAACCCGAAAGGTAAGCATAATTACTGATAATAATAATAATGATAGATAAAATAAAGAAAAAAGAGAATGTTCTTTCTCAACATTATAAGACAAAGGACTTCCAAAATACCATTGAGTTTGTTTTGTATTGGCCATATAGTGCTGGGTATGGGGACGACGTTTAAGACTAATTTGTTTACTCAGTGAGATTCATTGAGAGGAAGTTAATTTTTCATTTGCAAGTATTTGTAAATAGCTTTTGGGTTAGGGATGGGGCGTGTATCCATTTCTTTCAGTTCTAGGACCCTCTTGTGCAGAACTGTCAGTCCTGTGTCTGCTGGCACAGTCTCTGGGAGCTGATGCTTGTTGGACCTGCTATGTATGAAAGGCTTGGTTCACTTGGTGTCTTCCATCTCTTCTGGCTCCTACGACACTTCCTGCCTCCTTTGCTACAGAGTTCCTTGACCCTTGAGGATGAGGTTTGGATGGAGACATCCAATTTAGGACTATGTGTTCTAAGGTCCCTAAATCTCTATGTATTATTTGATATTGGGTTTCTGTATTTGTTCTTATCTGCTGCAGGAGGAGGCTTCTCTGATGATGGCAGAGCAAGGTACTGAGCTATGCATATAGCAGAATGTTGTGAGGGTCGCTTTATAGCTATGTTTCTTTAGTGTTTAGTTTATCTCCAGGTCCCCAACTGATCTAATCTCAGGTTTTTGCTTGGCCACCCAAGCATTGTTGGTACAGGTCCCACCCATTTCATGAAGTGTGCCTGAAAACCAATCAGATATTGATTAGTTCCCCCCTCAAGCTTTGTGCCGCTCTTGCACCAATGTATTTTGCAGGCAGGTCACTGATGTAAATTAAAGGATTTGTAGCTGGATTTGTGTTCACATCTCTTCTTTGGTAGCCTGGAGAGTACATTCAAGGCCCATGAACAGTAGTCTGTTGGGGTAATAGCTCTAGATAGGCACCAGCTTGACAGTTCTGGGTTCAACAACTTCTATATGTTCTGTCTTCAGTCAATTTGTGGCTAACAATCAATAGTTTTGGCAATAGCCTGGGTTGTTTGGGGGGGTTCCCATGCTGCCTCTTTGGCTAACCACTTGATTGGATAAACCTCTTTTCAGCAAAAGAAGCCTCGTTTGTTGATGAGAAATGCCCAGGTGGGGCTCTGCGCTTGCTTTTTGATAGATGGTAAACTCAAGCGCATAGTAGCTATCATCTTCTCCAACACTGACCTTTGAGATATTGTCTGAAAGAAATGCCATCTCCTAAAAGTGGTAAGGCCCTAACCTTTTGTGACATATTAGTAATTTTGTATATAAAATGTGAAGGCAACTCTGCAGCTTATATAAATATTAAGGAATTTATGGTTAAAGTTTTATAGGTCAAAGAAAAATATTGTTGAAACTTTTCTCTTTTTCTAAATTTCACATCTGTTTATTTCTGAATTTTCCATTTAATAATTTTAGATTGTGGTTGACTATAACTCAGACTGAAGTGATTTGACTTCTCTGACATAAGATTAGTTAGATTTTAGGTTTTGTTTTTGTTTTACTTTCTTTTTTGCCAATGAATTGTTTTATAAATTTATGGGAAACAGATCAAGAAACACAGACATTATATACTTGATAGTGAGAGATCATGGCTATATAAATGTTTACATTTTGTAAAATAAAAAAAGCATTCCTGAGTATAAATACTTAGAATAAATTAGATCATGTTTACATTTTGGTGTCATTTCCAAAGTTTCACAGAGAGCATCTTTGATTGAACTAATTGCTTTGTCAGTGGTGTCTACCCAACAGTAACTGGGTTTCCAGGAATTCTGCTTTAGTTCTGTTGCTGTTATAAAATTATCTCGACAATAAGCAGCTTAGAAAAAAAAGCTTATTTAGCTCACAATTCCAGATTATAGTTCATCATTGCAAGGAATTCAAGGCAACTAGTCACAACCACAGTCAACACACAAAGGGAATAAATGCTTGCATGTTTATGTATGCTTACCACCCCCGCCCTTCTCTATACATATACAGTCCAGGAACAAAGCTGTGGGAATGGTCCTTCTCGCAACAGGCAGCTCTCATACTTCAAGTAAAGCAATGAAGACACTCCCTCACAGAAATGCCCACAGCCCCACCTGATCTAGACAATTCCTCACTAAAACTCTTTTCCTAAAAATTAAAACCAAAATAAAAACAATAACAAAACACTTTCCTGTCAGGGAATTCCATGTTTTTATCAAATTTACACTTAAAATTAACCATCAAGCCAAGTGAATATTTTAGTTAATAAACCAATAAATAATTTCAAAGTAGAATAAACTAAGAATGTATAGTCTATGTATGACAACATGTTTTAATTTCACATGCTTTTCTTCATTTTTAGTTTGAAAATCAAAATTGTGTTCAAACTATGACATTCTAACAAGAAATAGCAGAATTATTTTTATTTATTTATTTTTTTCTTGCTGGTGATCATCTGTCTTCATTTTCCATATAATTATTATTTCAGGTACTCTCACCCTTAGAATAGCACCACTCACATCAGGGAGGGTGGGTTCTTCATGCTCAGTTAACCCTTTTTAGAATCTCCTCCACAGACACAGCAAGAGGTATATCCAGTAGGTCAGTGGTTCTTAGTCTTCCTAATGTTTCAACCTTTGACACAGATCCTTGTGTTGTGGTGACTCCCAACCATCAAATTATCATTGCCACTTCATAACTGTCATTTTCTACTGTTATGAATAGTAATGCGAATATCTTCTATGTGAATCCCAAAGGTGTCACTCCCACACTTGAGAACCACTGCTGCAGGTGTTTTTATATCTGGTTACATCAACAAGCAAGATAAATAACCACTAATCTAGCCCCTTGCAACATGAGATCCAAAACCATCACGGTAAGCAGTAAAATTCCACTATTGGTTCTTAAAATCTCACATTCAGTTCAAAAGACAAACATGTTTTATGTATCTTCCTGAGTCCCCGGCATTTCAACAGTGTCAACAATGTTCAAAATTTCAGGATTTAAAAATCTGCAATCATTAACTATGAGCTCCTGTAAAATAAAACAAACTTGTTCATCTAATATATAGTGATAGAGAGCAAGATTTTCTCTTCTGAAAGAGAGAAATTAGACTGGCCCAAGGAAAACCAGAAACAAAGCAGGATAAACACCCTCCCATATTTCTCCATGTTCTATGCAAATCAAAACAACTCTGAGATTCCACCTTACACCAAGGTCAAAAACACTGATGACAACTTGTGCTGGAGAGGTTGTGAGGAAAAGGGAACAGCCCTTCATTGATGGTGGGAGTGGAAACTGGTACAGCTGCTGTAAACATCACTATGGCGATTATCTCAGAAAATTAGGAAACAACCTACCTCAAGACCCAACAATACCACTTTTGGGTATATAACCAAAGGGTGCTCAATCGTGCTACAAGGACATGTGCTCATCTATGTTCATTGCAGCATTGTTTGTCATTGCCAGAGCCTGGAAACAAGCTAAATGCCCCTCCACCTAAGAATGGATAAAGAAGATGTGGTATATTTACACAATGG